TAAAAATAACATTTTTCTTCATTTCACTCCATATTTCTCTTTTGATTTAATAAGATACTTCGTTTATTAAACTCGAGTACTTGATAGATACATGATTTATTAATCGTAAGTGTGTTGAATAACGGGTGTGGGTGTAGGTATGTGCTGTCTCTTCAGCCACATCCATATCCAGGGCTCCCCAGAATCAACCAACATTGAAGGGTGTAGCAAATTTTTTGAAGACGTGGAGGTAAAGTGTTGAGAATTTTTGAAAGGGTATACCATTCTTTTTGCTAACAGAACACAGGAAAATTTTGGATTTTACTTGGGAAAAGTAGAAATTTCGCTGATAACTTGAAAAATGCATAACTCTCACTAGAAGCAACTTGCGTCCAAACTACCTTAGGTTAGAGCACTACTGGTTATACCCTATATAACCATCATATCTTCAGCCAAAAAGCTTTTTAGCACCTTGGGTTGTTCCGTCGTTAGACTAGATTGCACTGCTAATGAATAAAATTAAACTACTTTCTTTGAAAATAGAAATAAAGTGCCTTTTTGAGGAATTTTCTCTGGAAGAATTCAAACAATTTCAACATTTTCAATCGGCATATGATAATTCATACGAAGATACATTGAATATTGCGAAACATTTCGAATCATTTGCGACTCTTATTTCGTTCACTATTAATGCCAACTATGGTGAATTCGAATGTAATAATGAACTCGCGATGATTTTATTTTGCCAACATTATTTTTTTCTTCGACGATTATATCTACATGGAAATATATTTGATCAGAAATTACATATTCTGGACAATGGATGTATGTTTCTTTTTCCATCTCTTCTCTACACACATGTGAACAAACGTCATGTTATCTTGACTATTCAACTTTTGGATTAATGTTCTCATCTTCGTTCCTTTTCAGCAAAACTTTACGATCATTCAATGAGAGAGAATACAACAGCGTCTTCTATTCTGTTGCCTACTCAGATCAGTATGGGTCTTATAGCTATGAAGAAACTCAGCTTAGGAGAAGACAATGATTTTGGAACTGAGTTTGGTAGTACATTTCTTGAACTTCTATTGTCATATTGTCCCAGTCTTCGTACATTCATCTTTGACAATCGTTGTCGCGGCTATTGGGAAACATTACTTGAAGCAGATTGTTGGGCACATGTGTTCGCTTCAGAAAGCAAACTGAAGCGAATCTCTCTTCATTTACGATGTTAAATCAAAAAAAGAAATTCTCCGATGGTCTAGGGATCTCCTCTGTGGACTCCCTCTTAAAAGAGCTAAAACAAAACCTGTGAAGGCTATAATAAATACAATGAATCGATTAATTACGTTTATTTCTGTAGAATTTGTATTAAGAGTGATTGTGATACATGTTTCAGATTAAAACGCTGCATTAGGTGAATAGATATATCGACAAAAAATAGTGTGAAATGTGATGAAGAAGGAAGTTCTAGATTATTGATAAAAGCGATCGAATATCATGAATTCGATCATATCATAGAAAAGAAGGGGAAAAAAGCGTGAAAGAAAATAGGAAGAATTAAATGTGAAATCATATAATGTTGTGCAGAATTTAACGGGTGGGTGTGGGTGTGGAATGATTAAAACACTCACACTCACACCCCTACTCTCAAGATTTTAACCAATATTTGTGCAAACAGATGCTGGAGGACCCAATTGACTCTGGTCGCATGACCATGCTTCTGCTTGAATACACGATGTTGCTGTGCACTGAAGAAGATTTGTAGTAGTTCCACATTGATGTTCATCAGGACATGGTTCACATGATGTGGACATGATATCTGGTTGATACGTTCCAGCTGGACATGGCTGTGGGCACTGGGTTGAATCCGTACAGGAGTAGCCCATTGGACATTGAAAACAATAGCTTGAATTTGTATAGGTCGTATAATATCCTGAAGGGCACTTCGTACACTCAGTGGCAGCATAGTGACTATAATATCCAACGGGACATGCTTGTGGCTCTTGGTCACTTGTTGGACAATAAAAACCTTTCGGACACATGATGCATGTTTCCTGTGTATCGCATGTTGAATACCATCCTTCAGGACACTCTTTACAAACTGAGAATCCGTATCCCGGAGCAATCTTTCCTTGTGGACAAGTTATACGATTTTTACCATCTGGACAATAGTAGCCAGGCGTACATAAAATACATTGATCTTCATAAAGATATTTGCCAACTGAACATGAATTCTGTTCAGACCAGGAATCCAAATCGACAAGCAAAACGACAATGAAGAATGGCATTTCTTTTCATATTACGTTGTAATGAATGATAAAGTATACTTTCTCAAACACTAAACACCGGTATTTATACTATGTGAAAAATAGAATTGGTATTCACAAGCTAGCGAATTGAATAGAAGAAATATAATTCGATTTTGCAGATGCAATAAAGTATCCATCGTTTACGCGTTGCATATTAGGATTTGCTATTTCTATTGCACTTAACAATTGAAAAATATGTATTATTAGCAAGTACATATATATAAATATAGACGTATTTACGTTCTGAATTAATTCGACATACATGCTGCTAGTGTTCAAAAATGTCAAATCAGTTCTATCTATGCTTTTAATTGTAATTTTTAAGGAGCGAATATAGTTCGATTAAAATAATAAGAAAAAGTGTAGACAAAGAGAAGCAAAAAACTAATAGCTTTTGTAACAGTACTGTGTATCTGTATTTTGGCAAGGGATTTTAATCTTATTGTCCATATGTTTTATCGAAGAACAATGACATGTCTGTAAGAATTTCTTTCAACCGATGAAAACTGACAAAAACCGATCAGTTCAGTTATTTCAAACGGTTCGGTTTCGCCGTACCAATTATCATATTGACACATATAGTTACCCGATTCCCGTCCTTAGTATTTGGGTGCGGGTATGCGTGTGATAGACGAACATAATATTTACACCCACAGCCGCATCCTACAGCTGCTAAAGTTTGATAGAATATCTCGATGTATATTTAACGTACCTTCGAGATTAGAAGATTGATCTGATTCCCATAGATTTTGTTCATCAGTATCAGATCTTTGAGGATCAGCTTCTAGTGGTTGTTGTGATGTACCTTGTTGAAAGTTTTCTTGATCTTGAGATGCTATTTGAAATGGTACGGTATACACCCGTGGTTCACGTTCATGTAAAGCATTTGTACCATCTGAACGTTGGATAGGTGGTGGAACATTAAATGTACGAGTGGTTGCATTGTAATTATTTTTAATTGCATCACATGATGAATTTTCACAATGTTGTGCATCACATGGTGCTCGTTCAACAGCTGTATGCAAATAAGCTAATACACATGTGCATTTAAGACCATTTGGAATAGCTAAAAAAAAAAGAAAAAATATTTCTAAGTTTTATTTTGTATTATATAAAATTTTACCTTGAACAGCAAATTGTCCATTAGCTAATTTTTCAACTAATTTACATTGTGTTTTTTCATCTAATTTTTCAATATTTGTTTCAAATTCTTTAAGATTTGGTAAACTATTGAAAATATCTAAATTTAGTTTTGCACTTTTAATTGTTAATTTTTCTAAATGAGTTAAACCATCAAATGCATGTAGATCAATATCTCCATCAGTTTCAACTGATAAAGTATGTATATTAGGAAATTGACGAAAAGCATTTGCAGGTATACGTTCAAGACTATAAACACGTATTTCAGCTAAATTAACATAATTTGGTGGATGTTCATGATTAAAATCAGTTACATAAAATGCATTTATGATAAATTCATGTGCTGGATAAACAGGAAAATTTTGTACGGATAATACACTAGCTAGTTTAGCTAATTCTAAACGACCAATATTGCCTGCAAATGATTGTGAAACATCAGAACGAATATCACCACCACTCATACGTAAGTATTTGATATTGGAACCGTTAAATAATTGTTGAAATGTAAGGTTCCGGAAATGCAAAATTAAAGCAGATTTTTTTTTCTTTTTTTTATATATGATTAGATAGAGCTTGATGAGCTGATCAAGAATATGTGTGTTTTAAATTTTTCGGAGTGAGTTTTTAGTTAAAAATTTTCAGTTTTCTCCTATAACCTATTGTCTTCAAAAAAGAAAACAAAAAGTCAATTTTCGATAATCAACCAATTCTCAATTATTTTTCCTTTGTTTCGGGTTCAGCATGAAAAACTGAATCTAAGGAAATCATTTTAAAATGATTTCCTTAGATTCAGTTTTTCATGCTGAACCCGAAACAAAGGAAAAATAATTGAGAATTGGTTGATTATCGAAAATTGACTTTTTGTTTTCTTTTTTGAAGACAATAGGTTATAGGAGAAAACTGAAAATTTTTAACTAAAAACTCACTCCGAAAAATTTAAAACACACATATTCTTGATCAGCTCATCAAGCTCTATCTAATCATATATTAAAAAAAGAAAAAAAAATCTGCTTTAATTTTGCATTTCCGGAACCTTACCATGAAATGGATATAATGCATAAACTTCCAATTGATCTGCATTTAAATTTTGAAATAAATTTGAATCATCACTTGGTGAAACTAGTGGGTTGTAAATTTCTAATGTCTAAAAAGAAATAAAGACAAAAAAATTTGAAAGAATTGTTTTGATTCGTTTTGTTTTACCAAATTTTTTCGTGCATTTTGTGATAAATTATCTGGAAATACTCGATTAAAAATTCCAGCTGATGATAAATTAAGTGCAGTAAATTGTTCAAATTTAATACGAAATTCTAAATGATCCCCATCAAGTTTGTATAACTCTCTGATCGGTTCAAATGTATGATCATTAACAATAATATCATGTACAACTCTTATACTTAACTCAACTGATTTATATTTCTGTTTTTCGTCGTCTAAAATATTTATTGGTGATGGTAATTCATCATCAATAGTACATGTTACACGATAATATGAACATTTACATTCGAAACCTTCAATAGCATGACAATATTCTGGATCCAATTGTCGACGTAAACGTGTTTTACGTATAATTGATGTTGATATTGAAGATAATGTTACGAATAATATTAAAGATAATAACGCTATTCGCAACATTGTATTTTGCTTTTTGCTTTTGGATTCGAAGCTATTTTAATAAAGAATAATATTAATTTGAATGAAGAGTTATAATAGGATTTTATTATCTGGGATAAAGAAATGTTAATTATAAGAGTGAGAGAGTAAATATACTATCTGTACGAATTGGAGTTTGTCGAAAATTACATCAACAATTTTTAATTTGAAACAAATGTTTTATCGAGAGGTTTCTGTCGAAAGAACTGAATGAATTATTGCTTTAGCTAAATTTTAGTGGATAGACATTGTCACTTTTGCAGTATTTTTTTTTTCGGTAATGCTACCAATTCTCTAACAGAAATGGATTGTTCTAAGTAAAGAACTGCAAGATAACATTGTATGTATGTCACAGCTTTTATATATAGAAGGTAGAGCTGCAAAATGTAGTCCGGCATTGAATCATATCGGTGAACCCGGAGAAATCGATAAGACAAAGAAATGTTCAAAATTACCAATTCAGTCCAATATAGAATTCTCCTGCGAAACTGTAATGAATTTCAAAACTATTTTAAAAGAGTTAATGTGTTCTAATATTAAAAATTTGCAATAATCATCAATAAAATCCTTGATATTAATTATATTTTCATCATTCAAACACGACTAGTTTTTTCAAATCAGATATTCTTTCTTTAGCATTCATCGTTTTCATTAAATCAGTTCTGTTTAGAACAAACGGAAGAAAGAGAATTCTAGTGGTCAATTCATATGAGACCCATCAGAATCTGGGACTCACTTTTTCTCTTTTTGATAGACTTGTTTCTTACGATACTCTAAATCTTAATGAATTCTAGGATTCGCTTTTCCTTCTTGATTTATTTTTTTCTAATTAAAATGAAAACTTGCTGGAGAAACAGCAGATTTTTGATAAACGACCGAACGTGTCTTTTTTTATAGAGTTTTATTTGATGCTCCTCCAATCTAGAATATATAAACCATATAATATAGAAAAGAAAAAAAATAGATTTTAAAAAAGATCTGGTTTTCTCGAGACTAAAATAACGTGACTTCTATCTACTACTATTATATCGAAAGAGACAATCATTTAACATTAGAAAGTATAGTCAGTTACTATAAGGGATTAAGAAATGTCATTTATGTATATCTATTTATATGATTTTCGAATGATTTCATACATATTGATCTTTGGCCCGACTCATAACCGGAATCTATAATAATAAAAAGAGGATATGCGCGGATGTGAATGTGATTTGAGTATGGTATCCTTTTCGACACCTACACCCTATTTCTCTCGATTGGTAACTAGTCAATATTTTTTATTTATTCATTTGAAATTATGAGTGTCTACTATCACAGGTCGAAAACACACTCAATTTTTGAAAAAGAATTAAGACTTGAATCCTATTTCTTAAAGAAAAAAGAACTGGTCACTGGATCAGTTTTTAATTGACCGTTTTCGCTGAACAAAGCTGATTTTTAGTAGGATCTATCGTGCCTCAGCAGAAATTGTGAAATGCTACTGATTATTTATCTTGCTGCTGATCACATAATTTATGAGGGCAGGTTTCGAAGTGATCTAGAGTTTTTGAGCCAATATTTTGTCCATATATAGAATATGATAAGACTAGAAAAACTCAAAAGGATAATGGTTCGTAGATTTCCCTTTTTGATTAGTGACCATTTTATTGAGTTAATCACCTATGACAAGGAATATCGTGTACAATCAAACTATTGAGTTTCAACCTGAAAGTTTGCTTGCATGCACGCCTTAGGCATCCTATGCTAGTCTGAAAGTCTCAGCTCAAACAAATACTTCTTTCTCTAAATACTGAATTGCCACAAAAGGTTGATTTTGTTCATATTTATAGTATAGTATTGATTTTTTTAAAATTTCAGTATTTAGAGAAAGAAACATTTGTTTGAGTTGAGACATGCAGGCTAACATACAATGCCTAAGATCTACATGTGGGGAAAATTTCAGATTAAAAATTTAACAGTTTGATTTTACTCAGTATTCCCTGCCATAGGTGATTAACTCAATAAAATGGTCATTAATCGAAAAGGAAAGTTCATGAACCATTATCCTTTTAATTTTTTTCCTAGTCTCATCAGATTTTATATATAGACAAAATATCGACTCAAAAGCTATAGTTGAATCCTACCCCCGTTACTGAATATGCGGCATCAATCATTACAGATGTTGTTGCTCTGGAATTTTTCAGAATACTCTTGAAGCGACCCAATCCTCACCTTTTTCTTTTTTCACTATTGAAGATAGAAAAACAAAAGCTCATATTTATTACTTAATCCTGATTCCTCGACTAATTGGAAAAAATGATAATAGACAATATAAAATGGAGATAAGTTCTACAATTAGATCAGGTTTCTCGACTACTACATAACTTTCTTCAGTGCCATTTTCGAATCAATTTGATAACTCATATTATACAAATACTAGTAACAGATCAATGAAACTTAAGAGAATTGACATTAAACACATAACAAATCAGCAAAGCTTGACAGATATAGGTAAATGAAACTTGATGTACTAGATAAAAAATGGCTTCTATTGTAGTGACTTTTGGATTTTCACATTCCCCTCCCCCTCCTCAGCTGTCATCTTTTTGATAAACTAAAGGATCACCACTATTGTACGTAGTTTACTCAAGTGATTCCATGAATGATATTAATGATCATAGTAAATATGGTCTATTTGCTGACGAAACTGTTTTACAGAGTACTTCAAACATCATCACCAATCTCAGTCATCGTCTTCAAGCATCATCAGTCAATGAATTTCAAAGATGGTGCCAGTCATGGAAACTGAAAATACAGTCCACCAAAGCCGAACTGGTATACTTTAGCCCTCACCCAAGAAAAAAATAGAAAAACAAAGTCGATTTTGAGATTGACCATATAATTGTGGAATCTCAACTATCAGCGCGGTACCTCGGCATCCTCTTCGATCACAGACTCGACTGAAGAACCTACACAAAACACATAGAGATAAAAGTAGCACTACGAATTGGTCTTCTCCAATTTTTCTGGAGGATTTCATATTTCTAACAGCAAATGACAAAATTTGAAAATATCTTTAAATAATGCAAAATAAGGCAATAAGAGCAGTACTCGGTTTACCAACTTATACATCTGCGGAATATCCTCAATAAGAGCAACAACATTCACAAAATAAAAATTTACACCATCATATTAATCCGACAATCAGTCTCAACAGCAAAAATCTATAACGATAAAACGTCAGAAAATAATCTATTCTCTATTTTAGCCAAGATTCAAACAGATCAAGTTCTTTAGACTATCTTCACTCGCCGTAGAATAGCAGACTAAAATCAGGAGTCCTACTTTTTTGCTTTCTATAATTTGATAAGAATTTGTTTGTTTTGTTTAACATCTGTTGATTTATTTAATAAATCGTTGAAATCTAAATTGACACTTTTCCTTTGATATTAAAAGCAATCAGTGTTGGTAGGGATGAAATGCAAAGTTTTCGGATACAAAAGCTTATATTCATATTTGATTTCTAGTGTAGTATCTCAAAGCACGAACTTTGAGAAAAGTGGAAAGTTCAGGTCATATAAAAAACTGAAAACAACTCACCGTTGAATAGTTCGCGAAATACTACCTCGGCAATTCAATCACGAGCCATTTATAAATCAAAAGAGTCATAAAGAGAATCGAAAAAAAAGAGGAAGAATAGGAAGTAGTGCTCTTATTTTGCTTATACTTCTGTATGACCTTATCATTTGTTGGATTTATCCAACTTGATTAACTTTAAACGCAATAGTTGAAATTGAAACCGAAACAGTCATGGTGATGCTTATGGTAATGAGAAATAAACGATTACACATAGGAAGATATCAATTCCATTTGTTTTTCAATTCAATTTTAAGTCATACGCTAGAATTGGTTTGAATTGCAGTATTGAATACTAGAATTGATCAGAATTGAGATAGAATCAGTCTCGAATCCAGAAAGCTGAAATCAGATTTGAATGGGGTTGGTATTCAATAGCCGGAATCGAAAAAGCTTCATTTGAATTGGATTTTGTACTTTTCTTTCTCGATTTCTGTACTAGTCATTCAGAGAAAAATGTCAATCAACATAAGCATATCATTCTATAAACTCAGTCAGATTGCTACATATTATTTCATAGCAGTTCAATGGTTAAATATGGCTTAGTTGTCGATTAAGATTCTCAAAGAAGTAAGTAAAAAAAAAGCTCAAATAGTAGATAATCAATGGCATCCTGTGTCGAATCTCGATCAAATTTAACAACATGATCGGCCTTAGGGATGCAACAAATCTTGAATAGGATTTGGGTTTGGGACGAAACCTTTGGGATTGGAATTGGGAGCTAAGGTTTGGATTCGAGCACATGAATTTGATTTTGTATCCAATCCATTTTCAAGATAATTTATCGAAAGAGAAAGCATAAATGAATCCTAAAGTGGATTATTTAATTTCATTTCACTTGTCCACCAACTTCTATACGTTTAAGGGTATGGTGAGTGTTGGTCTATTCTAAGACACAAACTAGACATCCGTTGCAATATACCAGTTAAATCAAATTGACAAACTTCTAACGACAGCTTTAAATACATTATTGATTGAGCAGGTGACATTAAGAACCCTATTGGAAATGAATTATTATTGCAATAACAATAATGAGTGAGCTTCGGTAGACTTGATATAGAACTTATTAAAGCAAGCCTTCTTGAAATATACATTAACTCGTCCTTTGTCATAGTACAAGAGTTGAGTTTCAAATGACTAAGATTGATTAAGTGAGGTAATGCCAAGATGAGTTTGTCTATTATATATTTGTTCGGAGAACAACTTAATGAAAGTGATCTTAATTGAAAAAATTGATCGAGTGTGAAACCATAAAAATATAATCGATTAAGCAATCGACAAAAATCGACGTTCTCTGATAAATACAATAAAGAGAGTTTATCGATCAAATTTCGAAGATATTCTTGATAGATTGTGACAAAATTATT